TTCTCTCATAAATGTCCGTTGAGCCACAACTTTTCTTTCAAAACAATGCCAACTGGGGTGGCAGCTGGGGTGGCAAGGCTATTGTTTAGGGTGGAAGTTGCCACCCCGGTAGATCCGCCCCTGCCCAGAGGGTCTAAACATTCTTTATAACACAGTTTCAGATTTGTGAAACCTTAATTATTTTTGTGAAAATACAAACAAGGGAGATTTCAGTGCTTTTTTTTTTTACATGTAGACCACATTAGACCAGGTCCTGATCTAAAACCACTAGACCTACACTCATCAAATCTGGACTGGATTATCCCAGAGGGTCTAAAGATTCTTTATAACACAGTTTGAGATTTGTGAAACCTTAATTCTATTTGTGAAAATACAAACAAGGGAGATTTCAGTGCTTTTTTCGCATCCTGACCACATTAGACCAGGTCCTGATCTGAAACCACTAGACCTACACTCATCAAATCTGGACTGGATTATCCCAGAGGGTCTAAAGATTCTTTATAACACAGTTTCAGATTTGTGAAACCTTAATTCTATTTGTGAAAATACAAAAAGGGAGATTTCAGTGCTTTTTTCAAATGTAGACCACATTAGACCAGGTCCTGATCTAAAACCACTAGACCTACACTCGTCAAATCTGGACTGGATTATCCCAGAGGGTCTAAAGATTCTTTATAACACAGTTTCAGATTTGTGAAACCTTAATTCTATTTGTGAAAATACAAAAAGGGAGATTTCATTGCTTTTTTCACATGTAGACCACATTAGACCAGGTCCTGATCTGAAACCACTTCAAATGACCCGCATGCGCACCTGCGCAGCAGTTATGTGCAGCCCTGGTTATAAATAATCTTTAGACCCTCTGGGATGACCCAGTCCAGATTTGATAAGTGTAGGTCTAGTGGTTTTAGATCAGGAACTGGTCTAATGTGGTCTACATGTGAAAAAAGCACTGAAATCTCCCTTTTTTGTATTTTCACAAATAGAATAAAGGTTTCACAAATCTCAAACTGGGTTATAAAGAATCTTTAGACTCTCTGGGATAATCCAGTCCAGATTTGACGAGTGTAGTTCTAGTGGTTTTAGATCAGGACCTGGTCTAATGTGGTCTACATGTGAAAAAAGCACTGAAATCTCCCTCGTTTGTATTTTCACAAATAGAATAAAGGTTTCACAAATCTCAAACTATGTTATAAAGAATCTTTAGACTCTGGGATAATCCAGTCCAAATAAATCGGCTATGCAGCGATTTAAGAGGTTCAAACACGAGGATTGTTCGCTCAGCGCTGTACATTAAATGTCCCTTAACTTTCCCCTTAACTGCCGAATCGGATGCTCTGAATCGGAAGCCAACTTCAGCGTTGTGCCAGCAAGGAGGTCTCGTGGAGGTCTCGTATAGCACTTGTACACCCCACCTACACAGCAGCCCATGCACCATCACCCCCATCTTCACAGCAGCCAGACCCACTGTCTTGGAAGACAGACAAAGACATTGACATTTATAATGAATAGTTGGTTGAAAGTTCTGATGTTCAATATTGTAAATAGTTAGATTTTCCAGTTTCTTATATTTATATAAATAGTTGGTTGAAAAAAACATATTTATAATAAATTGTTTGTTGAAAAAAAAAGGTTGAATGCTCAATTTGTATTTGTACACATCACATGAACCTTGGTATGTAATATGAAGTCATTATTCAGTCCTAATGTATCTCAGTCCCTGCTGTGGTGAAAGTAGAGTGATAAACACCTATTTTACTCAAAATTCGAATTTAATTTTTTTCATTTTATACATGAATAACACATTTATATACAGTGTAATTCAAATATTTCACTGCTTTTGTGATCCTAGGACTTTGGTAACCAAATCTAAAACACCAAAACAATTCGATCACATGAGTAAATTTGTGTTTTCACAAGAGTTTTGAAGATTTTCCGAAAATCGGATGTCAGATTTTAAGCTTTTGAGCTACTTATCTCATCAAAGAGTGCTCTAAGGTGAGTAATATGCATATATAGCAAGACCAGATATTGTCCTGAACATTGATATGTAACACATGGGGTGCCATGTTAGAAGAAATACATTTAAAAAGGTGATTTAAGAAAACATCTAAAAATCGAGAAAATACCCTTATGGCGCGTTTCCACTGCAGGCCTCGCTCGGTTTGGTTCCCGGCTCACTTTAATGCTGCGCTTCCATTATAGTTTAGGAACTGGGGTAGTTACTATAGTAACGCAGTGTAGGCGGAGCCGTGACGTCATCTTCAATGAGAGCCCCAGAAAAACAACACAGCCGTTAGCTGTTAGCACTCAGAGCTCACAGCTCTTCATATCTGTTCAGAAACTAGACAAAAGTTAAACAAGTAAAAACCACAGACTGCCTGTGTCATGGCGAATACAGTCGCTGGTTTATTTATGTCTGTATAGGCCGTTGTTGTGAGTGTGGACGGTCGGAGCATATACAACGTTAGCTTAGCCCAGCTCCATTTAGAAAACACGCATTTTAAAAGGGGTTTTCGCCTGCCGTCTGTCTGCAGACTTGTCAAAGCATTAATTCATGGTTTTTACTAACCAGTATCAGTATGTTGTTACTTCGGCATCATTTTGAAACGTGTATTACAATTAAATCACGGTCAAATATGTTCATCTTGTTGTAGTTGTAGCCCCCTTGCCAGCGATTCTCTCTCTAGTTTAGCATACTCAGCCCGACTCAGCCTGGTTGTTCCTGGCCCTAGAACCACGATTTAGTCGGGCCAGAAAAAAGGTGAAAAAGTAGCCCCGGGCCAAAACTAGGCCAAGTGGAAACGCAACCAAAAACGGGCCCCGCACGGCTCGCACGCTTAAAGCGAGCTACCCGCTGCAGTGGAAACGCGCCATTAGACTCCAGAGGCACACACATTCTTGTTCTCCTGTAGCATGTGTCGGTCTCCTCCTGACAAGGCACATGCTACAGGGCGCTGCCTGTCTGATGTGTCAACATAAGAAATGAGATCATGAGTTTAATGACCCGAGGATGTAGAGGGGGATACTCTCCAGACAGATATCATTCATAATCAGTCATAATCCTGTTCTGGTATGACTGCGGAAGCAGATCATTTAAGATAAACATCCAGCTGATGAGAGCGGCAAATTCAGTAGAGTTTGGAAAATGACTTTGGACTATTTTTGGAAATAAGGATGATTGCCAGTTTCAAGTTCTCATAGAAACAAAAAAATCTAAATGTAGGTTTGATTGTAGACTCACCATTTAACATAATAAGGGTCTGAAATGAAGTTCACTGAAAATGTTTTGTCTGCAACTACTGTTATTTATGTAGAATTCTTTATAATTGTAAACATTAAGTCAATGGTACCAGAGAGTGTAAATATAGAACACATCACATAACCTTGTTCCCACACATTTTTTGATTCAGGACAAAAAATTATATTTTTAACTGTATGGAAAAGTGACCTACTATGGTGGCATAGATGTAAACGTTTTACATGCTAGAGCCATTGTACCTATACAAATGTGTATGCTAGCATTTGCTAATTAGCACAAACACAGATTACAGGTGAGGCTGATTTTGGTTAAACCCAATTAATTATTGATTTAAATTGTTCTATGTTAACTTTCAGTTCATTGCCTAAAGCAGTCAAGCGCCCGAACTTAAGGACTAGCAGCGTTTACTTTACTGCATTCAAAACACTGAAAACAATATAGTTGTTAAAGGAAAAGTGATAAAGTGACAAACTGATGTGCCAATAGCTTCCAACTGGAAAATCACCACAACAACAACTTCAGTCAGTCGTGGGTATGACAGGATTAAGTCTGTCAATATTGTCCCGTGGCAGTGGTCATACTGTACATGCCCAGACATGTCTCCTGAAATGAGGTCATCTCTATTATTTGAAAGGTAATCTTGCTTCACTGTCTGCGGTCACAGTGAAGCGATCAGTGTATTTGACATGGTAGCATGCAGAGGTAAACAGCTGCTAATGTGTAACTTGTGTGAAATTGTGGATGACCTGGGGCTAACATGAGAGGCGTGGTTATCAACCAGCATCCTCTGGGGCATGTGTGTTGAAAAGAGGGGCCTACATCCCTCAGAATTACTACACTCTAAAATGACTTTGTTAAAGCCAAGTGAGTTTATTCGGGAGTAGTCAAATACATGTTGAATAGCTCCATACAAGGCCAATGGGCGGTAACGTAATAGACATAACAGCGAGTTAAACAATGTGTAAGCTGTTCGAAAACTGGGTTGCAGCTGCTAATACTTTGCCGTGTACATTAATATTTATTTCCCATTGAGATATAGGAGTAGTACACCCGACTTGGGCACAGTTTCACAATACTTCATAGCATTTCATTACCTTTAATTGCCCAATAACATTCAAGCTTCTGTCAGCAAATGGTGAAGTGAACCAGAAAGACCTCAATGAATCACTTGGCAATGGGCTTTTGTTCTTGTTGAATCTATTTGGTGCACTGAAACCTTGGGGGCAGCGATGGAGAATCGTTTGTTTTATGCCCTCAATGATCCAGCTGGCACACAAAAGCCCGATAACCAATCTTTCCCTCGTCTTCATTTTATCTAACCTAACCACAGACAGTAGAGTGAATGCACCCCGTCTAATGAGCGGCAATTAACAACGCAACAATGACGGGACAATCTCCCAGGCGGAGGCTGCTTACAGTCAAGTAAATAAAGATAAGCTGTTGTAGATTTGCGATTCTTCACTCAGATGATGGAGAGCTCATTTCATTTTAGTTTACAGAGGGGAAACACGAGCTCAAGCGCCAGCGCAATTCATCACACTCAGCTGGGTTCTGCATTTATCATCTCCAAGAACGGCTTACTTCCCATTTCCACTTTCTGTAAAACAAAAGCCATTCCGATATAAATTCTAATTTTAACCAGAGCCAAAGCTGCGTTTTCCATAATGCTTTGAGACCTTTAAAAACAAAAAACAAGTTCTGTGACTCGGACAAATTGGCAAATTCAGGAAGACAGATGTTTTCAGCAGCTAGTAAAACAGCTTTATTTATAATACTTACATTACTGAATATCCCCTGCTGTTTTATGAGGTGGTGCACGTTGTGGGTGAAGGGAGTGGGTTCCTACTACAATGCCTTCATATTTGTAGCTATTTACATTGATTGTTGATTGTTGTATGTTAAAATACTGTTAAATCTGCTCAAACAATATGAGTGTGTAACATTATCAATGAGTCTTAACACACTAACTCAGCAGCTGGTTACAGGCACATGTGAGGTATCTTATCTATGCCCATCATTTACTCATAAATGCATGGTGCCGCTTAAACGTTTTCGAGAAAAGCTTATCTCTTGTCAACTAGAACTAAAAGTTCTGCACATGTAATTCTAGTTTGTTTCACACTATGTCAGATAGGTGGATGTTTCCCATAGTTTACAGCCAGTATATGGAAGGTATTTTAGTCTTAGTATTTGAAATACCTCAACGCATAAACCTTTCCTAATGGTAACAGTTAAGATTTATATTAGCGTATGACCCAGTCACAGTAAGTGGAGCGATTCCAGAGTCCTGCCTTGTACTCAGTGTCTCTGTTTGAGGATCATGTCCACAGCCTGAGCCAGGTCGTCCACAGTGCCATCAGCCGTCACCGTTGAGTGCCTCTCATCACTGGGCCTAAGGGAGGACAAGCAAAAGCACACACTTAAGGACATGCTGCACGGGAAATAACAGGAACAACACAAGGCTCGATCAGCAAGAAGCAACAGTTTGATGGTATCAGCCTCATTTTCAATACTGAATGTTCCAACTGAAAAAGAGTAGGACACGGTGGTCTAAGAAGATTCAGGAAACGCTTAAACATAAACCAAGCAGACTCACACCCAAAGGCTGTTTAAGCTTCAGGGGAAGGTTTTAGTAAGAGATTGGGTTTATAATAAGATCACGAGAGCTCCCTTATGATCGCCAACATACTGAAATGAAAAGTTCAGGGATTATTCTCGCTTTCTGGATATCTTTAGGAGGTGTCTGTGCAGCTGCTTGCCAAAAGTCCCTGCAGGGTAGTGCATGCTTTTCGCCTCGATCACCAGTGTTCCAGACCTTTCTAATATATCTGCAGGCAACTTAAACAAGCCAACTGGGGACTTTAATGGGAACTGCTAATTCCAAAAGTACCCAATTGCTTAAAATAAAACCATAAAAATAATTTGAAGACTCAGGCCAATGGTTTCCAACCTTGCGGTGGGAATCAGAAAGCATGCAGTTTCAGGATAGAGTTAAGCTAAACTTTTCTAAGAGAGAGAGAAACATAGTTTTGCTACACAAATTAAGTTTGTTTTAATTTGTCAAGTAATGGCTAGGCTCTAGGTATGGCAATGTTGGCTTTCTGTTTGTCCACCGCTTTGGTCCAGACTAAAATACTTCCACAACTATTTGATGGATTGCAATGCAATGCCATTAAACACACATTAGCATAGAGGTCATAAGCCAGAAACAATCAACCAATCATCATAATTTCTCCTAAATGGTTAAAAATCTGTAGGAGGCATCAGGCGGCCTTGCCTAGTCCCCCCTGGCCACGGCCATTGTTTGGTCCCGGGCCCAGTGATGGATGCAGATATGGCTGTTTAATCAGCTGGTAGGGGAAATGTGATCCATTTGGCCTGGCACCAGGCCCAAGCATTCAGTACTCTTTTCCTCCCCATCACATCAAAAGACAGAGACGCCCCATCCATTCAACTGCAGCACTGCCCAGGACTCCTGCTCATTTATGAAGTGGTGCCTATAGACCCCCCCACCCCCCTCCGCTCCCCGTCGCTCGGGTCTGTGTGCTGCCTCTGTTCCCCAGTCACGGGTTGGCGCTCCAGATGGGGAAGCTTTGTCCCTCCCTGTGTGCGACACACACCACCATTAATCCTGGCCTCTCGCAGAGGACCATGGCAAATATTTGTGAGCCGCCCAAGTGTAGCATCAGAAAGAAGAGGCCTGTGGTGGGGGGTGAGGAGAGGTGATGAATACTGAAAGCCGTGGTGAATATGGTGCCATGTGTTTATGCACGTCTGTCATCCACCAGCGCTTGGGTTATGTGAGCTGGTCTGCTAATGGTCCCGGTGTTATGTCTCCAGTGCTAGATTACTCCCACACCCTTCTTTGCCCCAGGACTGATTGAGTTCACACACGCAAGTATAAGGCACGAACACACAAGCAAGTTAGTCACATGGCTCTTGTGTTTCATTGCAAACAGCATCGACCTCGCCGTCTCTTCTCCCTTAAAATCTCTTATGACCTGCAAGTGTCTATGTGTATTCATTTTGTTGCTTTCCTCGCATTTCCATGAATAATGAAGGAGTAACCAGGTCAATGTGACCATGCAAAATTCAGCACAATGCAGCTAGTGTTACAGATGAGGTAATGTGCGGCTGGCTGCCTGTCCTTCAGGTCAATGCAATATCAATACACGTCAAGAGATAGCTTTGCTCCCTGAGCCCGAGAGGTCACATACGAGGTAGAAGGTGGGAACACAGAATTTAGTTAAACACAGCTGCCAACGAGCCGAAAGACTGAAACACTTCACCAAAAAGTGAGTAGAAAGATCAGTGTTTGGGGTTTAGATTGGAGGTCAGACAAAATGAGATTTGAAGATGTCACTTGGATGTGGGAAAATTGGACCTTTATTTTACGATTTCTTCATATTTAATTCAAAAAAGTTGATTCCATATGCTTCATATACACGTACATACATGTACATACTGTACAACAGTTTGAGAAATGGGTATACACTGCCCAGGTTATAAAAGATATATTGGCTTAGAATGTCATGTGTAGAAATAGAACACGATACTTGGCTCTATAAAACATAAACATACATTTTAAAAGGGATATGAAATGAAAGTGGATACGAATGACTCAGGCAGTAAATGTGCACTTGTGTGTGAGAAGTCAGCTGTGCATCAAAGACAGAGAGAGATGAGCTATGATACAGAAATAAAGGCAAGGGGGGGCTTGCTTAGAATAAGGGCAGCTACTTTTTTATTTCATTGAGGTAGCTGACCGTGGGGTGAAAGGCACGACAACCTTCCCATCGGTTAATGCTTAACACCAACACACACACAAGAGCACGCAGCAGGAAGCAAAACTGTCACATACATCAGATTACGATTTACACTTTTCTCTTTACCGCCTCACCTTTGCTGAGTGTGCCTTTCGCTCGACACAGTGCAGGTAAAGCAAACATGAGCGTGGAGTTTAAAAGGTCAACCAGAACCAACAGCACATGAAACTCAGAGCGATGTTATGGGTTTGACAACAGTGACAAATAAAGCAATTGTTGGAAAACCAAGCTGGAAAGTGTACACAGCTGGATTTCAGAACACAGCCTATCATGTTCTTAAGAAACTTTTACGAAAATATTTTTTGAATGCCTGTTGTTGACATGGTAGATTACTGGCTGTAGACAACACTGAAAACTCCTCGTGGGAAATTAATTCAACTCTCAAGATTATGAAAGTACAAACACTGCTGCGATGATGGTAAGACTGATGTTAGCTATTGTTAGCAATTAAATAGTTTACTATACAATTAGTACTTCTACATTTTAGACCAACAAGAGACAAATAGCACAGCTCTACAAGGGTAAAATCTCCCCTAATTGCATGTGAATTGGCTAAAATGAAAGCAAAAGTACGTAATATTATGTAAAATAATATGTAAAAAGGAGTATTCAAAGTCTATTGGAAGTTACACAAAATTCAATAATTGAAAAACGGCTTCAGAAAGAGGAACAGGGTGAGCAAGTGTACAAAATAACCAACAGGGATGTGACTGATAAATTCTAATGCACATGCAGCTTAATATGACTTCAGTTTTAATGATGTTATTTCGTCTATGTTGAATCCCCTACCCCAAATAAACATAAACTGTAACGCCCCAAGTATTTTGTAATGTGTGCCGTCACCTGGCTTTGCAGTGAGGAATCACATTTATGAGAGCTACGACAACGCTGAGAGGAAAACATTCAGCCGGCCAGCGAGAGACGGAAAAACACTCAAGCCAGATCATTGTGTAGAAATGCGTTTTTTCATAGCACACAAACGATAGCCAAAACACTGTGTTTTCTCACAGTAAAGCAGACTATAACCATAACCTGAAGGAGAACACTACCTGACGATAAGTATAGCCTTAATGTTCAGCCAAGCCTTGTGGGTGACATAAGATCTAGACGCAAGACAAAGATTTTCCCATCACCCTGAGGGGGAGAGGACATGTGTAACTGCATGTGTTTCTGATGCTGCTTGCTGAAGTTGTAATTCTTGGCCTTGAGGGTGAGAATGTGATCACAGCTTCACTGTCTCGGTTATAAACAAAATGTCATGGGATATATTGATGCCATATCAGAAGGAGGAAAAGAAGACAAGTTGAGACGTTCTGGTTTTACCACCCTCACCTACAGCTTTTCTCTTTTAGCTGATCAAGATAACTTCTTTTAAAAAAGGTATGCAGCTGCAACCTTTTGCAAATACAGCCCAACTGAACCGGGGGAAACCACCATGCTACATGCATGTTATGGCAACATAAGAGACAGATGCTAAACTGGAGCGTTCACATCCTCTGCTGAAGTCGTGGCCATGCAGCAGCGGTTATCGCTACCAAAAGCTGTATAATGTTGAGTCATGATCAGCAAACAGCTGCAGTACAATTTTCACACTTCACACAGATAAACGGTTATTTCCAATCGAGCAGGACACAAAGGGGATTCCCTGTTTGCACCACGATGAGCCGCTTGGTTTCTTTCCATCCTATCGCTCTCTGTAAACCATTGAGTGCTGTGATGTGCGCGTGTGTGTGTGTGAGTGAGTGTGTGAGAAAGAGAATATCCTGAACCGTCAAAACTACCCACTGGAAAGTTTCTGTCAATCCAAACCACAAATACATGAGTGGTTAAACGAACTGGACGTATTGCTTTAACTTTCTGTCTCTGAGAGATAGTAAAAGCACTGTGTGTGTGTTTGTTTTACCTTTAGAGCAGCCATTGATTTCCATTTATTTCCATATATGAAAATCAAGCACCAGACTCATCCTGTCGGCCAGTGGATCCCAAACGACTTTGTCAGACTGACACCTACAGCAATATGAAATGAACTAAGTAGAAGTAACCCTTCATCAATGCCTGCCCTGTTTTAAATATGGATCATAAAAGGGATGCTATGTCAATGCCTTGTTTGCTTTGGTGTATTGTACTTGATGAATAAATGCAGATAACATCATTGACTTGGATGGCTTTCACACCTCAAGCTGATAGATTTTGATATGTTAAACAAGAACATTGTTAGAAAGCAGCGGAAAGACAATAAAAACAATCAATAACCTGAAACACAAAAATAAGTTAGTCTTAAAAAAAGAGCTGATTGTGGTAAACATGCTAAATCACTTTTATAGAGTAAATACAAAATAAAAACACTACATATTATATTTTACAGAGGGTGTATCTCTAATGATCTCTCTAGGTTGAATATACAAGTCAGTTGAACCTTTGATGTCATTCAGCAGAGCATCTAGGTGTGGTTAAGGGTGATTTCTCTTGTGACTACACCCAACAGTGATGTATATCAGACGATGCAGTGCTGTTTAATTTACAAAGGGAAATGAATTGAGGGCATTGCCTGAAAAGGAAAAATACT